GGAAGACCGATAATTTCAGCTTGTGGAGGTCCATGCGTGAAACTAAGTGCCTTTGTGGACTATTTCTTAACACCAATCGTTAAAAAGCAAGAAACATACTTAAAGGACAGTCATGAACTTCTAACTGTGTTGAGAACACTCCATTTGAGCCCGAACGTATTACTGATATCGCTTGACATTGTATCCATGTACACGAACATCCCACTGGATGAAGCGATCAAAACAACGTTGGACTCCTATCAAGCTAGTTCTGTCCCATACGAAATTAATAAGATTAACACCGTGGACTTTAGAGATATCCTCAAGCTTGTCTTGGAGAACAACTTCCTTGAGTTCAATGGAAACTATTATAAGGAAATGATTTGGGTGGCCCAGGGGTCGAAATGCTCCCCAGAAGTCGCTGATATTTTTATGTACTCTTTGGAAAAAACTTTTGTCGAAAGAATACCAGGTTTAATTTTGTACAAAAGATACCGCGACGATATTCTGATCGTAAGCGAAGCAAACAAACCGGAGATTCACTCACTGGTCGAGGATTTGAATTCGCTCCAAAGTCCATTAAATTCACTATGGAACTGAGCGACAGAGAGCTTAATTTTTTGGATCTCACAATATATAAGGGAGAAAACTTTAAGAAGAACGGCATTCTTGATACAAAGACTTTCTTTAAACCGGCCGAAACATTCCAGTACATACATGCAACCAGTGCCCACCCGAAATTTTGTTTGGGAGGTTTTGTAAAAGGCGAAATTCTAAGACATAAGAGGAACTGCAATAACGCATCAGACTTCATAAAAACTGTGCTAACCTTTTACAAACACTTAATGCAACGGGGATACAGTAAAGAACTGTTCTTGAAGCAACTCAGAGAAGTTCTAAAGAGGAACAACGATGAAAATAAACCCTTGGAACGCGCACTTTTCCTTAAAACCAAATACAACCCTGGCACTTCAAACCATGAACTGAGAAAAGCTTTAAATAAACACTGGAATTTTATAAATAATGACCCCGAACTCAGACCTATCTTCCCTTCACCACCGATCATTTCTTTCAAAAGAAATAAAAACCTGAAAGAATTTCTAGTCAGATCGAGGCTGGAAAAAACAAACTCAGAAAACGAGGATCTAAATATATAATAGGTTTTCTGTAAAAGAAAGGTATCCATCAATATATCCCAGAGCCTGATGAGGAAAACGAAATAGCGTCATTAATAAAACAACTTAAAAGAGCAATTATTTATTGAAATGGCGCTATCGCTCTGAAAGGATTATTAAGAATTTTATTAAATCCAACTAAAGAAAAGAGCTCTATAAATGGAAAAATATACTTATACATACCTATAATCAAACCTAAAAGGAATTTATCTAACTCGGTTACCTCCCCATCTATATGGTTTTTCGGTTCATGCACTCCTAGGAGAGCTCTATGCTCCCCGATAATGTGGGATTCAAAAGATATTAAGCTCTTGGTCGCCAAACCCCAGATTATTTGTGATAAACTCAGGGAGAGGTGTCAAGTCCTCCAGTAATGATTGAACCTCACATTTTGTAACCTGGGAGGGACTAGGTATTGGAGCTACCACGTTTGGAGGGACGATGAGTAACCTACAACGAGCGTGTGGAGAGTGCATGGCCTCTGCAGCTGCTTCGAGAATTCATGTAATACAAAGGCACAACGTTTAAAATAAACGGATGGCCTTAACTTTTGACCACAAAGGAAGCTTTGGAGGGATGAGTGACCTATACAAAAAGTATATCATATATAATTTAGTATATATTATGAATCTTCAATACACTAAGGAAGCCTTGGAGGGTTGAGTGACTTATACAAAAAGTATATCATATATAATTTAATGAATCTTCAATCACAAAAATTAATAAGTTTTTTTGTCTGGGTGTTTTTGAATCGCTCGTACAAACAAAGAGAGTTTTCTGGGATGAACGGCTGCCTGTTTCTTGGGTTGCGCCTTTTTTGAACTTGTATTAATTCAACCATGCCCGGTTGGACTCATAAGAAGCTCATTTTCGCGGATGTAGTTTGTTGTTCGCCTGTGACGTCATTGATGACGAACACGTCACGGGCAATAACCAATCGGGGACGATTAGTTATTGACGGGCAAGTGACGTCACGGGCAATAACCAATCACCGAAATGCGTTCAAACCAGTCAACCAATCCGTCATGGGAATGACGGTTTTGTTTACGTTTCTCGATCTCAGTGACGTAACAAGAAAGCTGAACTGAAAGACGGAACTTCTCGTGGGTCAACCTTATATATTTAAACCATGTGGCTACCCTCCTGCCGGTGCCATGACAGGGCTTCTGCGTTTTCGGTGCAACGCCTGGTCTCACAAGCGATGTTCGACACTTCGTTGCGAACACACAAGCGATATTCTTTGACTCGAGCCACACTACCGTGGCCTATGCTCGAACGACTCTATCTGCAGGCAAATTACCGTTCAAGCACTGATGCAATACCTCCTCCGATCACTCCACTACAGCCCGCTCATTATTCCTCTGCCGCCGTCTGTCACTCTCCGGTAACATAACTTTGTAATTAAATTCTACGTAAACTACTGCTTGTAGCAACCTGAGGACGTTTGAACGCAATCGGAAACGTGGCGGTAGCCATCAATGGAAGTCATTTTGCGCTCACAAATAACGTATCTTTTTTGGGAAGTGGGTTTGTGAGATTATTACTCTGGCTACTTATATCAGGCGGTAGAGAGTGAACCAACTAATATTGTTCTACCAAATCGTTCTCCCCTTTCAACGCAAGACAGCCACCGCTTTCTGCAATCAGGTTACGTCAATAGCTCCACACGCTCACTGCCCCGACACACAACCGTCACAGAAGTGCCGCTCTTCTCCCGCTCGTGCATCAGTTCGCAATAGGCTTTAAGGGGAGCGTCTACCCTAAAATTGAAAATTTTCACTTTTTCGGTTTTTATACTCATTTAAAGCTGACATTCTGCCCTATCCAACGGTACCACTGCCATATCTGTACGTTGATTAATGATTTCACGACATTTCATGAAAGGGGGGCGGGTGGGGGAGTTCTTTCAGTAATAGATAGGAGATAATTCGCTGCCCCAGCACTACAAATACAGTGTTTTTATGAGGTCTGACTCAGTGTGCCTCCGGGCGTTGTACGGAGAGATGTGCATGTAGTCGCTCCCATCATCCTTGAGTGGAATCAAGCTCCAGAAACGTTTAGTTTGGTATCTATGCTACATTGAGCGCATATTGTTGTGCGCGCGGGACTTTGTCGCGCTCTCCTCAACATTCACACTTATTGTCACGGAAAACCTATCTCCTCCTAGAGTTTTGAAGCTACAACAATGAGACATATATCATTCAATTTGCAAATAAACTATCTACAAAATGTTCATCCCGGTTTTTCTACTTTCATTATAGTTTGAATTTTATTCTGCAAAAAGAGGGGGGTGGCGGGGGGGAAATCGAAAAATTTCCGAACATTTTGGAAAAATTCCCCCCACTTCCACAAAAATTGGAATTTCAAAAAAAAGGGGATGAACATTTTGTAGATGAAGACTTCACGCATCGAATGATATGTGTCTCGATGTTGTAGCTTGGAAATCCTAGGACTAGATCCATTTCTACAGTACCCCCTTTTATAGCCGTTTTCTAAGAATTTCACGTTTTCTTTCATTTTTTTTCGAAAAATTCACACCAACAAAATGCGAGTTTTTTTCCATTTTACATATGTGTACCAAGTTTCAGAGTGATCCGACTGTAAATAGCCGAGATAATTTTTAGGGTAGACGCTCCCCTTAACGCAAGCAGTCGTCCGCCAGCCCGCACCGCGGCTGCATCCATAGACCATTCGAAGTTACTCGACAACAGCGAACACGTTCTACAGTTCACATTGTTCTAACATCCACCATCCACCCTCTCATCGGAATCTGCCTTCCTCACCCCACCATTCAGCGCTAGCGTCGTTCGGGCTACTGCAGTGCCCTGGCATACTTCACATTTAAGGTCTTGTCCACTTGAAAACGCATCTTTTTGCCTGTAATTCTTTTCCCTGCCCACAGCGTCACCTTACTGAGGAACAGCCCCGTGGAAGTACCGTCCTTTTTGGCTAAACTTGCCTCCCCCTTCTTCTGGTCGCTCTCCCCCGTCCGCCGCCTGATCTCTCCGTGCGCGCAGGAGTGTTAGTTAGACTTCGTAGTTCAACAACGGTATAATCACACCGAGAAAAAAGGTTCCATTATTATGTCCATCGGAAGTGTTCACTATAATTCAATTTCGTGGGAAAAAAATCCAATCATAATTTTTGTCCGCATTACCCTCTATACCACCTGACATGAGTACCAGGAGCAATATTGTCACAAGCCTACTTCCCAAAAAGGATACGTTCAGTTCTAGTGAAATGACTTGCACTGTTGGCTGCCGCCACGTACGACAACTTTAAAATGTTCTCTTGCGTACAAAAGTCCTGAGGTTACTACAGTCAATAGGTCGTGTATAATTTAAGTTAAAAGTTATGCTCCCGGAAATCGACATACGGCGATAGAGGGCTAAAAGAGAGCGACTACTTGGGCTTATGTGCACACACTTTAGTGTTCCAAAACATCAGCCCAATCTATCCGAAATATGACGGCCCTTCCAGGAAATACAGCATTAAATCAGTAGATACTTTTCTTACCCCAATTTCTCTTTACCGTGCATGCACTCTCATTATGACCTGCGAAGTTCTTCAAAAGGCAATCGATTATTAATATACATCCATATCTTAATATCCATTAATTTTGTGATATATGCAATAGTTTACATCAACTCTGAATGAAGAAAACTTCGCCAGTTGGCTACCGCGTGGCGTTCACGATCACCGAATTAGAGGCGGTACTCTAGCGATACAATCTTCATTTACACTAGCCAGTAATGACTTTAACAGGCACCAAAACTTGACGCCAACGACGACGACTCTTGGCAGCGCTTTCCAACCTGGGTCTCATGAAAATAAATATAGCATAGAAACAATACAACAATATTAACAATGTATTCAATGAAGAAAGTTACTTACTATGTAATCTGCTTCGAGACTAGGGTTGACAAAGCTCGGGTCATTTTAACATGATCTTAAAGGCAGGTAAGTGAAGTATAAATTCTAAGGTCAAATTATTAATTCTAGGAGTCGAAAGATACAGAATATTCAAGTATAACGATTTCTGATCTGCAAGATTTAGTATAATTTTTTCATAATAATGGTTGAGAAATTTCACAACGAGCGACTGAGAGTAAATAGCCACTCATGAGCACCTGTAATTGTATAAAATTGAAAGCATAAATTGCAATTACTCCCGTGTTTGAATGACACATGTATCATCAAGACAAAAACAAGATGATGAATACCGCGAAAATCAAAATGGCGTTTAGAACTTGAACAAGAGTGAAATAACCAGATCAATATCTAAATTTCTATAAAAAACGAGCGTTAAAGATACAAGCCTAGAAAAAAGCTGTATGCCGTGTAATTGTACATATACAATTTTTCAACACTCGAAAGCTGATGAGCATTATCCTCCCACGTGCAGCAAATCTACGCATTAGCAAATTTCCCACGGTAAGCAAGATACACAAGAAATCGCTTGAGAATAATACAAATACAGTCCTTGAACAAATAAAAATCAATAATAGAAGAGACAACAAATTGGAGCTCAAAATTCGAATATCCAGCAGTATAATATATCACCAAAATTTGAAAGTGGGGGCCCAAATATGATTAGTTTTTCCTGTCTATATCGTCCCAAAATCACCACACATTTTTCCTGTCTATCAAGAACTGTCGTTGAGAAACGTACTACAAGTTCAGGATTTGATGCATTATAATTATTGTCTTCGAATAACTAAGGGCACACTCGGTATAAACTAGTCACCTTGCAATTGCGTCTCGGTTGCAGATTTTCAACTCTCCACTTAATTCATTGGATAACAAACCTATACTCCGTTTGGCAGTAAGAGTGAGCTGCTTATCTGTGATATGCAAGGATTAGTGGTGTGAATGCACAACATTCGATTGATTCCCAAACAGGAGAAAATATGTTTGGACGATAGAATGGACGAAACATTTTTTACATAATAACAAAAATCCTTCATAAAAATGGGGAAGGAATAAGTTTTACGGAAATGTTTGATATGAAAAGAATCAAACTTTACAAAAGCAAAGAAATAAAGTCTGAATGGTCCACAAAAGTAGAAATAATGTGAGTCAAATATAAACATCTGAACCCACGGAATCGCACACCAGTAAATGAAATGTTATAAATAATGTGAGTCAAATATAAACATCTAAACCCACAGAATCGCACACCAGTAAATGCAATGTTTTACGTATACAAGGTAACCAACACAATCATTATCCAACATCTCGAAAGTTTAGAGGGTCCGGAAGGAAAAGGTTTGGGGTTCTTCTTGGACGGGTGAATGGCTTCATTTGAAATAAAACAATAGAGTCAGCCATACGTCCATACAGTATAATTATTTGTCAACTGAGCGAGTGTAGCGTTTAAAGAAAAAACTTTCAGGGCCATCCACTGATGTGAGGGTAGGAGGATGAGTTTAACATAAACATGAACCGAAACCTTATGGTTTAAAACGATGCCAAAAACGAAGATGATAAAAATAACAATAAGGTCAACAATTTATGAGTGCTACGGTAATTGTTTCCAACTAAAATGGAACTGTAAGCGCGCGTGACTTGTGTTTACAAAAAACAGATAGGAATAATAGTATAAATGAACGAGGGATACAGTGTTAAAAATTAAACGTCAACAAAATAAAGGAATAAGAGTCCTCCAAAAAACTCCAAGTATTTTAATAATGAAATATAACTGGGAATGCACAATAGTCAACTGATAGACAGCAGCCAGCTTCTACATTTTTAGACCAATACTTCCCTCAATAAATGTATAAACTTTCCCTTAGCGTGCTTCAAATATGCAATACTAATCATACATTATCAGAACACACATACTATGTTCAGAGATGAAAATCATTTTATTGTTCAAATTCTCACTTAAAATTGACCCATAATGAAAGTCAGTTCATTGTGTTGAATGAGAAATGGTTTGACCCATAATAAAGTACACAATATTCCAACGATCGCGATATCTTCATAAAATCTTTGTACCGTACCATCACGGAACACGCATATGTACCGTGCAGTAACGTTACATGCAGCTATGTGTGTGTACGTAAGTACACGCAAGCCAATAGCACCGGTGGTTTTGAGCAGCCAGAATTATACCCTAACAGCCATAACAAGCCTAACATCATCAGGGATTTGTACGGCCATTATGCCGCTGTTATGCGTTCGGCTCTCCACACGCTGTCGCCATACGAGTCTTCTCTTTGTCCAGTAGCAGCTTGGCGCGGTGAGCGGTCTCCATCAGTCTGAGAGTAATGCATATAATCATTCTTATGCCTAAATAAAAATTAGATTACAAGTAATCAGTTCATGGACTCTGTAGATGGAAAACTAACTACATAAACAAAGGTTAGCCTGAAATTCAGTAGCAATGATGAGACAAAACTTTTTATTTTTGTTCTACTTTATAAAGAACACTAGTATCTCAATTATCCGACTTCACTTCCCAGTTGTCCAAGCAAACTCCTTTGAAGTTTCATGTCTATTCGTGAAGCGCTTCCCCATGCTATTCCAGAATAATAACGTTCAGAACTTAATTTGCTTAATAAATACACGCCGTTCTAGCTTACCAGGTCCAAAATACCATCGTTCTTGCGGCAGAACCCAGTTCAAGATTCGGTTGCACTTTAAAATGCACACAACCATATTTTAAATAATTTAATTTTATTTGTTTTTTTTTTAATCAACCTATGAATGCAAACCAGCTTTGTTTTTAAGGGACCTATAAAATATAGAAAACAAAATCCAACCTTTTCTGGATTTTGTTTGATTTGTAACATAGGTAAGTTCTGGTTGCATTAATGTGCAATCAAGTGATCAGAGTTAGCGCGTTGCAGTGTTATATACATATTGCAGCAGCAAAAACCCGACTGGTAAAGGAACACTACACATTTTCATTCAAGTTAACATCCTGAGTAATATTTGATGCCCAGATTTGAATGATAACCAATTACATTGTTGTTGGGAGACTCATTTTAATTAATTCTGCAAGCATGTGCGGGTTTTCTGCCAAGAGGTCTCTGCAAACCCACATCATGAACTATAGGATTTGCTGCATATTGATCTATGGTAAAGCTTAGAAATTTCACTTTATTATTGATAAAGTTCACTTCTTGGAACTAATCACATGTTTAATTGATGTCCCTCGTGGATTGTTTTCGTTCCTATCGATCCTTATGTTCAGTCAGATTTTTATATAAATAAAATTATTACTCATCAAGCAAAAAGTTGAAAAAAGTACATTGAGATGGTTTTAGGGGAAGTGGAAATCGTTTAAATCATAGTTTTCTTTGAACACTGTCACAATCAACCTAATGCACACTAACCAAATATCCCAATATCTTCTTAAAACATAATTATATGAATCCAACTCACCTGGTTTTAGTATCCTGAGCCACAGAAGAAGTCAAGTCATGATTGGCAGGATTAGGAAAAAGTTTGGCTAGTACATATGTCAAGCCTTGGTCAGTTAAGTTTATATTCTTCTTGTAGCGCTCGACCCCGAATTTCTGTAATAAAAGAGCCAGGTCAACATCAGATAACCTGGGAAAGAAAAAAAATTAATAAAGAGAAAAATTTAGCAATGTGCACTGCAAAGACAAAAAAAAATTAATTTTTCTCTTCTTTTTATTGTGGGCACAGCCAAATAAAATGAGGAATGAATAATTTTACCAGTTCAAGACAAAAATCAATACATTTTTGCAAACTTCCATCCAAATTGGTTACTAATATTCAAAAATCAAAATAACCAATCAACATCTCAAAAGCAACTACCAAGACAGGTATTTTTTTTAACTTTATAGCACTAAAAACTCTTGCCTGAATTGCGTAGCCCAAACCAAATATTTTTGAGTTGATCCAGACTTTGCGATGAGTGACTGTGGCTCCAGGCTCCTTGTCACATGGTCTGTACGTCACATGCTCCACGCAAGTCATGAACTAGAAACATTGAAGTAAGTTAACCCAATTTTCTGCGATGTTAACTTACGCAAAATAATTCTTTGACTGTGAATGTGCTTATGGAAAAAATTTCAAATAATTTGCATTTCTAAAAATAGCATAAAAAATTAATTTCAATATATATATCATCTAGACAAGAACAAAAAAAAGTTTTAGAGGTGAAAAAACTTCCTTTTGAGAGGATTTTCCAACAGAAAATCATTAAGATATTCCAATCATTGTTGCATTTCTGTATTTTCATTCAATTGAAAGAGCAATTTAAAAACAAATCTTCTCTCACGGTCAGGAAACTGATACAATAACAATAAGGTCTTTTGGCTGAGAACCAATGAAGAAATTGGATTTTATTACTACATATTGCTGCACATGATATGCTCCTTATGCATTCTGTACTGTAAAGAGCCAATAATGCTTGATATAATGCAAAACATTAAACTAGATAGTCACTGTTAAATCAGATGTAAAATAAATATTTTCACTTTGCAGCATTATCAAAAATCAACCTTTTTAACTTTACTAAACAATGAAATATGTTATTGGAAATATTGAAAGCACGCTAGTAGGTGCTCATTTGACCATTTTTAAATAAAAAATTATTATAATTTTATTGTAGAAGAAATAAGGATACCTTGATGCTCTTTGACCCTAAATTAACAATAAGTAGGAAAAAATATTAGGAACAACCTTTCAGTGGAATGCCACCTACAAAATCAAAGCAATGGAAAACCAAAAACCCACAGTGGCAGTTCAATATATACCTTTGTGAGGCCAACATTGGTGGTTACAGTCTCTATGGTACAGCTGGCAGGATCAATTGTGCTGCGCTCAACAACAGCAACTTTCCTAGCAGTGACAATACGCTCTGCCCACTTGGGCATCCGGTTGGTCTTCACTATCACACGTGTGGAATGCAGCTTGCCATTCTCAACTCTTCTAGCTATTGTATCTTCAGAGAGAACATGGCCACTGAAATAAAAGGAAAATATTAAGCTAGGTAAATAGTAAGCTTCAGAGAAATTCTAATAAAGGATTATAATTATATTCTTAATATTATAATTCAGTAATATAAAACAACAAATAAAAATGTAAATATTTTACTATTTGTTCAAATCATGGAAAAATAATTAGCAATCTTAATATCATGAATGGCTAATCAGAAATATCATGAATTGATCAAATTGATGCATCAGTAGTAATTCATTTGAAATCCTTTAAGATATTTGGCTGTGATTGATGGGCCTGAACAATGTGCACTACTTTAAACAATGGTCCAAGAAAAAAGTTAAGTCAATCAAATTTGTGGCTTTAAACTTCTCAACTTCAAAGAAGTTGAATTGAAATGAAATATAAAAGGTGAAAATAATAAGAAACAATCATACCTGGATGGATTGGGATATCTAAGCCACAGTGCCTGGGCCACTTGTTCCCATTTGTAGTGGAATAAACTGGAATCTTCACAATACCGCATGTTTGTAATTACCTGCAGCCTAATCTCTGCACATTTGTAATCACTGAAAAATATTCAAAATTAAAATAGAAAATTAAAAAAAATATTTAATTGTGAATCTCACTAGATGAATATTTATTTACATGTACAGTATGATTATATTTGAATTCAACTCAGCCAGAAAATATCATCAAGAATTCAATGAGTTTAATGGCCTTACTTTGGATATGGTATTAATGCATATAGACAGATAATAATGAAGACAAAAATATTGGCCCATGAGGCTAGTATGGAGCTGCTGTGAAGTGGTGAGAGACGGTCTATTGCACCCAGCAATCTGGGGGTTCAAGTCCCATGCAGGACAAGTTTTTTCAGGAAGCTCAGCTCGTGGCCACCTCAGCTAGAATTCTGGTTGATAAATAAGTACTTGGTTTGTTCAGGATGTTGTGTAATGCAAATAAAATGGTTTTTGGGGGTCAGCAAGCCAGTCATAGTCGTAGAACTGTGTATCATAGCGGCATCCAGTTGAGGAAGCTAATATGTTGTTGGCGTGTAAATGAATAGTCCTGAGACAAACTTGTTGTATGCTTTAATTAACTTGGTTATGATACAAACTGAAGTATGAGGACTAAGTATGAAGAGAAAAATGAAACAAAATGATGGTTATAATAACTACTGAATTCTCATAATTAGCATATGACAGTAAAGAATGACATAATAAATAGAAAAGGCATTAAGAAACATTTAGCTGCAAATTGAACTGAAATAATACCAAGTAGAATGCATATGAGCACCAACAAACAATGTAGGGAGTATAAAAACAGGAGGTAGATAAGTAGAAATAGATATTAAGCAATAATGTCACTGGTTTGCTTGAATTGCAAATTCACTAAAAACTTAAAAGCAAAGAAAACTCTATAAAATTTCATAGTATCTTTAAAGAAAATGTTTCGGAGTCCAGCTCCATTGTCAGTTCAAAAATTCTAGAACACAGATAAATCAGGAATTAAGACAGTCAAGATTACAACAAAAAAACCTAAGCTGTAAAACCTACCTATTTACAATTTCAAGCGGGTGAGAGCTAAAAGCTAAATTCAAACTAGGCCTCTGTTTAAAAATATACAATGATTCTAAAATGCGCAAATCAGAAACACCGGAACTGGAAGCTAAAACTTTGAAGTCACTGTCAGAAACTGGAACATGGCACTGCTCGGCGTGAGCCCGCACAGCCGAATGAGGTGGGCGTGACAGTAAGTTACCAGTTCTACAACTCCTGCCCCTATGCTCTGTGACCCTAGAATAAAGATCGTGAGACGTCATCCCGACGTACACAGATGCACATTGTGCACAACTATATTTATAAATTAGGGACAATGGCATATGCATAGGGAGAGTATCTTTGTACCTTTGTAGTATTTAAAAGTCTCAAACCATAATATTCTTTCTACACAAACAGTTTATCACTATTTGGTAGAGCAAGGTCAACTATCAACTTTGACACGTGTTTCAATATTCTCACTAGTTGACTTGGACTTTTGCTCTGAGGATCTTAACATTTTCCTGCCAGACCTAGTGTTTTGCAAATTTGCGGGAATCTGGCCGCCTGGCGCGCAATAGGATGATGTCACACAGTCACAGTCGTCACTATTTTAACCATCTACGCATGCGTGGAAGTAAGACAGAGCTTAATATAAAGGAATAAGTTGAGAAGTGTCGCAACTTGCAATTACCCACAATGTTGGAATATGGTGCGTTTACCCTAGGTCAGGGCTTGGGGGCAGGAGTTTTCTATTATAAATCTAGAGCAGAATTTCTAAGCAAAAAAATGTATATTTATTTTACTATGAAAGAAATTAGGCAGACTGGCAGAGGCTACTAAACAGGTTAAATAGACTGCAAGGGCAGCAAGGCACAAGCCAGGCATTCTTGTCTCATTCATGAATCATGATGAGTGCATTGAGTGGGCCAGAGTGGCTTCTACTTCTGAGTTCTGCCCGTTCTGGGCTTCTGGCTCTGCTCAAATTTCCAGAAGGGATCATGACTCAAATCTGGAATTTCAGACAGGATTTTCCTCAAATTGTGAGTGAAAACAATAATTTAGAGGGAAATTTAAAAAAATTGAGGTTAAAAGTCTCCTCTTTCTAATTTTTTAATGCAGAATTTATTGAAGGGCCATGCTACCATAGAATTAGAAACAGGCAAATTTGCCAAGTTGACAAGTGTTCAACTGTTCATATGATCATGTCTGATTCACAGGTGGCTTTAACAGTTTAACTGGCTTAGACAAATTTTCCAGTTTGTTCACAAGTCACAACTTCTGCAGCATGCAGGATGCACCCAATGCAGCAAGTCCTGCTTTGGCCTTCAAGTTCACTTCATGTCAGTCATCATCATTCTCTTTCAACTCTCATCAGGCATTCAGGCTATCAGCCATGAATATTATTTTTAAAAAGGTTTAGGTATTAACAAATCAATAATAAAACCTCTAATTGAATATAACTCTCCCAAAAGTTTCAGAACAGAAAACGTAGCTTATGTAGGTTCAGCTAATTTAAATGTATTATAGTAGTAAAACGCATGATAGAGCCTTAGAGCACAGGTACGACGCTGACAGGCTGGCAGCCAGCTGACTGAGATGTGCAGTCACCGCAGTGCATTGTGCCTGGCAGTTTTTGGTCATGAATGCCGTCGCCGGTAAAATAACAATATACCTAGGTAGAAAAATAAGAGCGGTTAGCCTATAAAGTAAAGGGGCTTACGAGGAATTAGTCACTTCAAGGTACGGCTATATGATCTGTGAACAAAAATGAATCGGTATGCACTGGCCGCCTGTTGTCCTAACGACTACAGAAATCGATGAGATTAATTCTTATTTTTCGCTAATTAGATTCTTCTTCTTCTTTTGGAGCTGAGGGAGCTCTGGAGACTCGTCCAAGGCAGCCCCCCGACAGAATAGTGCTCAGGATTTGCGCAACTGTGGGAAAAAGGCAGAGATGAGACATTGCAGAGAGCAGCCATGTTAAAAGACTGGAGCTGTTCGACTGTAATATCAATGATAAATATTTCAAGAGATTTATTTGAGCGATATATACATATTTCATCCCAGGTTAATGACTACTAACTGCTAACATGCCCTGCACAGTGCCTCACATGAGATTGTGGACTCGACTGAAGGTCCAGCCTGGGCAGCACAGCCTGGAGCTTCTTTTGACCAAGTTGGTCTAGCAAAGTGAGAGTTTATACTTTACAAAAACAAAACAAAACTCCTGTGGGCTCGTCTCTGAAGGATCAAGGGTTTAAATGAATTTAAGGTGAACAGCAGCAATCTTTACAATAGCAGTCACAACCTATAAATAACTATAATGCATATACCTAAAAGTTTAAATAAGAACTAATCCCGAGATGACTGCAGAATGCTCCTGTTCCTCTCAAATAGGCATTTAGTTCAATGCCAGCAGAAATTAAATGTATTGAATATATGTAGGTGTTAGTTTGCCACAAATTTTAATTATAGTTAGTTATTTCTACCACTAGCTAAGATATAACATTACTTATAATAAATGAAGAGTGCTAGTAGCTGATAAAAATGCAGCTAGAGCATCTACTATCAAGTTCTGGATGAGGCCAGGATAGGGGCCGTCTCTTATACACATCTAGATGTGTATAAGAGACAGGATTCAATCTGAGGTAACCACCGAAGCTGGGGGGCATCAAATATTACGCCAAGATAACGGTGCTGATTCACATATTCAAGAGCAGAACCGTTGATATACAATGGAATAGCTGTGGCTCTCTTGCTCGTAAACAGCATGCATTTTGTCTTTAAGTGATTTACAGTTAGGCCCCACAGCTTAGTCCACTCAAAGAATCTGGTAAAAAAAGGCCACATCGTCGGCATAATCCGCTGTGCGCACCCCCTGCACCGCTGGGAGATCTCTCATCATGACGTTAAATAATAGGGGTGAGAGGATTGCCCCCTGGGGCACCCCAGATCTGATTTTCCTAGGTGATTTCAGAACCTACTACTTGGTTACTTGGTTAAGATACGGCGCAGCACATAATTAGATTATAGATATGTGCCGATTATAAAAACAAGTTCAGGATCAAATGTTCCTGTTACGTGTCTCTGTCGTGCAAACATACGAGAAGAAACGGTCATATTACGCGATGCTATATCCCAAATAATTGAATTTCACAAGTCCACTCTTTGCAATATTACATATAATAACATGTAGTTTTTCTTAATTTCATTCAAAGTTTAATTAAGCTTAAACTGTTTGATTTAATTTAAATGTAACTAAATTTTATTCAATGAAGCTCAAAGGTTTGTAAATAAATAATTTGACTGAAGACTTTCTCCTGGCGCAGAGGTTGTCGCAAACGTGGAAATGCACCTTTCATTCTATTTCTAGTGCTCAAATCATAATTTCGTCTTTTCCGAATCTATCTGGAAGGAGTTTAGAACAGGTAATTCCGACCGGTCACCAATGCTCCGTTTCAAGCATCTTCATGTTATTTGTTGATTCTCGATAAGAAGGAAAGCTCTGTGCTAGTGTTCAATGCACTTACCTACAAGTATGTAAACTCTGGGGTAGAGCAAACTGAAATTAAAAAAAACTCATTAACATAAATGCTCACCTGCGAGCATAGTTGATATTTTTTAGTTTTCATTTATCAAATTTGCACATGAGTTTATATACAAGCAGATTGGGGGATATAATGATAGAAAAAACATAAATTTCCATAACATCTTCAAATAGTAACGTTATTTTCCCCTTAATTATAGTAATTTTCATGTCAAAATCATTCTCAGAACAGATTTACATAGCTTCATGGACAGGGAACCTTCCCAGTCAGGCCGAAGCTAATACATGAAAAGTAAAATTAATTCGGTTGACTTCTGTAAATATCACGCTTAATTAGTACATGCAAGATTAAAGAAAATGCATCACATCTGTACAGCATGACGTTATGTCGTAGGACTGTTTCTTTCGAAGATTATTTGGCCTTACAACTGGCCGGGCTTCTCGGTGGCTTTGAAAAATTTGCCGTAAGAAGACGACGCAATAAGCTTATTCGAGAAGCTCTATCAAAATTTTCAACACAATTAAATCCGGCGAAAATTCAACACCTCGAATGCAATAAAGGTAAAAACGGCGTTTAATATGGCAGTTTTTTAATAGTACAAATCCAAGGCTTTACTACTTTTTTAATTAAATGCAGAACGGTTGAATTCAAAGTAACGTAATCAAACAACACCATGTGGAATGTTTAGCATGTTATCGATTCTACTGGCCTGATTTATGTAAAATCGGCTTCTCGTCAGTTGATAGCAGCATCTTGTCCAAATACCGCTACAAGGTGGCCCAGCGATAACAGTTCAGACCATGGTTGAATTAATACAAGGTTGACCCACGCATGGTTGAATTAATACAGAGGGGTCATCTTGGGAAGTTCTTGGGATTGCTTCCCCGAGTCTTCCCATGACTGCCTCGTGTCTTGGCGCCTCTAGGAGAGCATGGTTTTCGCTCTCCTCGCTGTTAGGACTTGGCTTGGTTCAGCAGTGCCCCGGTGGTTGGTGCTGCCTGAGGCAGCCTGGCGGACGATCGTTGACGAGTGCGACGGTTGACTAGCTCTGTGGAGACCTTGGCAGTGGTGTCTATATTAATTCAACCATGGTTCAGACGGCTAGGATTGAAGTAGTACAGAACCAGATTCAATTCCAGATTCCTGACGTTTCTAGTCAAAATTAGCAAAGCAGTTGGCCGGTTTAGCAGAGTGGATATTCAAGCTGTGTGTTCGAGACCCTCGAAAAAGCAGCAAAAATTCGGCGGAAGCCCTACCGGTTTAATCTGCAACTGTGATACCACCACTATTGTTACACAGCACTCTTTTCTTAAAAGCGTTCATATACTCTATGCCGTCCGTAGGATCACACTCCCACATGTCGACAACACAATAGAAAATATGTTGTCGCGTGATAGGTTGCAGAAATTTATCCACGATATTATCAAGTCATGAGCTCGTAACTTTTCGTCCCCAGTAGCTTCACTTTAGCGTAAATATATTAGTTATGTTGATCTTCGACCATACCAGTGAGCCCGTCGAGGAAAGGGGCACTAATTTCCAACAAAGAGACTTTTGAGAAGTGGAAAAGACCTTTGTGCATGATGAATGTTTACGTCGGTACATACATATTGCAAATACAAGAAGAGTTGCCTTAGCTTGTAGTATTTGTTAAAAAACGCAAAGGTCTAGACGGGACTTATAATCTTTTGGCTATAAGTAAACTCAACCAAGATGGTAATTCAACTTCATAATTAAAAGGCACGTTTGCTATTAAATATATTTCTATGCGTTGAAGAGAACCACCCAACTTCAATCTCCAGAAAACTTGAACATAAAATAATATTAATTTCCACTAGAAAGTAAGAAGAATTCGTCAACGATAGTAATCGCCTTACAACTCTGAATATCGCTACATTAACACGCTAGAAAATCGGGAATAAACGGAGCAATACAAATATTCTTTAAAAATGCTAGTATTTTTAATAGTTCTAGCAATTAAATAATTTTCCCAATATTTTTAAGCTACAGAGGCCATCGCTTGATCGTTATTTAACGAATATTAATAGTGAAATGCCATCAACATTGCTGCCAATCCCTGTATCTGAGAACACAAATTCAGTAGCGAAACAAATATTTCGCTGAGCTCAAGATGCTCATTTTGCATTTAAAAACTAAATATATTTCAGCGTCGTGACAGTAAATACATTAGCTAAACAGAAGATTCAAAATGATGACAAAAACCAAAATAAAAAACTATGTAATAAGGAATCCAGGCTGCGCTGAATCAATACTCGGCAAAATATGGGTGATCTATTTCAAGCTCATTGCACTCAGTCTCTTAAGTGGAAAAATAATTATCAGAACCTATCAGAAATGCATGCCTAGTCGCACAAATTAACGAGTAGAATAGGATTACATTTCCATGACATTGACGATTACTGATAACATCTTGTTGGGAGATACACGTAATAATTACAGGATGTCAGAACATTAAATATCTCACAATAACAGTGGCAGAAAATAATTTGGGAAAACCAAAGAGATTTTTTTCGATGCTTTGGAAAGCATGATGAACATCCTTAGGTTTGGTGCAATATTCAGGCAATAGTTGAAAACAGAAACAATATTCAGGCAGTAGTTGAGTCCTTAGATTGCTCAAAAATAACAATCATTATATGGAAAAGTATCTTGAACTGCAATGCATGTATGTAATTGCAACATTTTTACCTCTATAAGTTCAACGAAATTTGATAAGAATTTCATAACCTAATTTAATACCGAACTCTCTCTGAAACAGATCGAACACTAGCAATACATTTTTCGAAATTAGAGAAAAGAAATTACTTTACTTTTTACGGCAGCGGATTTAATAACAAAATATCAATTTTTTTTATTACTTCTATCATTACTGATGGAAATACAGTGACGAACTAAATTTCGAATGTATGAATAAATTATAAAAACTATTATAAACACAGTTTTCGCGGTGTGACGTTATAAAATTTATTATGAATTTACTGAAGACACAAGCGATATTTAGTTCCAGAAGAGAAAAAGGAATGGAAGATTACTCGTTACATATGGGCAGCATCAATAATTAGAGTTCCTTCCACCTACTAACATATTAAAAACTTACCATTGATACCCAAATGAATGAACCTGTCATCTGATCTTGAAACTGAAGGCACTTAAAAATTGAAGCAGAGCTTCATTTAACAAATACGTTATTTGGAGAAAAATTTTTAGTTTAGCATGTGAAAAATGGCTGCTAAGATTTAAAGAAAACTGCCCCATGAAGTTCAAAGCTCTTAGATGTAAAGCGCAACAAAAATTATCCTGCTGGTAAACATTCGACGAAAAGTCGCCAGAGTTGAGAGGCAATTAAATTTCTGAACTTTTTGTATTGAATGACAGTCTCAGTAATGTTGAGTTTCATCGACCACATGGTTGAACTTTAAACATAAGTTGACGACTGTTAATTGCCATGACATCACTCCTCGGATTAGTTTGTGAATACATCCTGGAACAAGTTTTAGAATTTTCATTGTAGAAGTTCAGGAGAATAAAGCGCGTCGACCAACAAATTTTTTTAGCTATGACATCAAATCATTGCATATTAAACACTTCGGGGCACCAATTTTAATGTATTTAGAAGGTCCCTGCCAAGTGAAGGAAGGTAATGGATTGGCTGCACATTATCTCTGATAACCTTATACAGAGTGCGATGCCATCAGCTCAATCGATTTGGTAAGACGTGGTGCGGAGAAGCGTTTCTGTGCTGTAGTTCACAGAGCTGCCGTCCGAGATGCTCACTACGTCGCGAACCTGCCAAGATATTTCTAATGTTATTATTATTCTTAAATTTTCTCGACTAATTCAACAATTCCTCCTAACTCTTTCTCATTACCAACGCAAGATTTTCTTCCCTAATTCAATAATTTTCTTGGAACCTCGTTATTAATCTTAGATTATCTCAATTCAGTAATCTTCTATGGACCTATCTTGTTCTTATTCTTGGATTTTCTGGAATAATTCGATAATGTCATCTACATATCTCTCGTGTTATTATTCTTGAATTTCCCCGATTAATAGCTTCTTCCATTATAACTTAGAATGAGGCACAAGTTCTTAATGAAAGTCACAAGAGGAAGTAATTAATAAAACCTATACAGACAATCTAGAGTTTTATTAACCTTAGTTTTATCAACAATCTAGAGTTTTATTAACCTTAGTTTTATCAACAATCTAGAGTTTTATTAACCTTATATTTTAAAAATCAATTCCATAATTACTTCTAAGCTTTGAATAAGTTAGAATTTTTCAATGAAAGTCACGTCAGGTGTCATACTATCAAAAATAATTATGCGTTCTCAACTCAGACAATCACTGACGACTATTCAAGCTAAACCCACTAATCACAGATGAGAAATAGGCCGCTAAATGTACCAAGGCGCGCTGCATGTACGCAAACCGCTATGTTTAATCAACGTTTTGATAGTACGGCCCAATTAGTGCGTGATTAATCGAACTTATGCTGATAATTTCTCCCTTACCTTGAGGTTGCAGAAAGTTTTGGTGGAGGTGAAGGAGACAGTGACGGGGAAGAAGGTGTCAGGTGACCCGCGGGCTGTGAAGTCCAGAGTGCCTGAGGGCGTCGAGGCATCCAGCAGCGGGATGTTCCACACCAGCGCGCTGTGGCTCCTGCACAAACAACCCAACGATAACATGATCGATACTACGATTATCTTGTGTGCGTTGTACCCTAAGTACACTAAAATTACAGTTATTACGATCAACGCCAACCATTACAGTTTCCAAGATTATTTAAAGATTGGCTCAGTTCATGAGAGAACCTCGCACCTCTCTCACGTACCTGTCGTACTCATTGGTGCCATCACAGTTCCTGACAACAGGGGGCGGCGCCCCAGAGCACAAAGGCACGGAGATACTGACGTTGTTGAGTTCCAGGGATGAGTCCTCAAGCGTGTACTCAATATTCACGTCGCAGTTGCCGCTGCCGTCTTCTTGTGGCCAGCAGTTGACTAAAAAAAATATTAAGGTTGCTATTAAAAATTATAGTAGCTCTATTGGACAGGACAGCCTGAATTGTCGGCATTCTTTGAATCCGATATTGAAAATACTAACTATCCTTTTTTTCTTCATAGAAACTGCAATATATCTTATATAAATCGTATGGTAAATATATATACATAACCCACCGGTCGCCATCCAGGAACTGTCAAGCGCGACTTCACGTTATTGAACTCAGAGTTCAATACAGAATGAATGAAAACAAATACAGAATAAAGTATTCGTAAGTTTAAATATGAAATTCATGAATATATCATGTAGGTAACTCATCGCGAGTGATGTGGTCATGTAGTTCAACTTAAGAAGGCAAAAAAAAAAAAGAGAGAGACATTTGAGTGCAGCACTAATAGGCTTGAGACTAAACAATGAATGATTGTTTTGAGCTCCAAAAGAAGAGATGTTTGAGTGCAGTAGGTACTAATAAACCAATGAATGATTGTTTTGAGCTAAAAAATGAGATGATAAACGAATAGATGAACAATTGGTCTTAGTAGTATGTTTGGGTCTAACCGATGATAATCGTTCGATGATGATCGATAAATAAAATAAAAAATAGTAATAATAATAATAATAATAATAATAATAATAATAATAATAATAATAAATGTATAAAAACAACATAAGCACATATTAGTTCACCGGTAATAGGTTAGAACCAAACCTAAATAATAATAAATATAATAATAATATAGATATAGATCAGAAAAAACGAAATAAGACACTAACTTGTAAGCGGAATATGGCCGTCGTCTGTGGTCTGGAAACGCCATTTGACGACACCGACGTCCGTGTTGACCGGGAAAGGCTTGTTGCTTTGCTTCATGCCAACCTGCAGTACGTATACTAAGTTAAAAAGAAATACAGAATGAAATCGCTAGTTCTAATAAATTTTTAGATGAAAGTTTCAAGGCTAGGTTAATTTTTAAGAAAAGTACACTGTATGGAATAGATAAAATTTGAAAAGAATTCAAGACAGTTACTACACTCGCAAAATCGTACGCAAAAATAATTTTTTATCCTACACAAAATGTCATTTAAACATATTTTCTACCATGACACATAACCGCGATGTGCTGTGCTATGAACTTCCTCCTTCCAACTACCACCACTGCATCAGGTTAAAATTTTAAATCCTATTTTAAGTGATTTGAGTTCAAATAAACATAATGCTAATTTAGAGAAAGAAATTATAAGAATAACTTGAGAAAGATCTTGAATTTACACAGGTAGATTACTTGGATTTTGTTCAGTAATGAAGGTGTCCTGAAATGCACAAAAATTTTCAGAAAATTGGACCAAATCGGCACAAAGGGAGAGTAGAGACGCGTGTTGGGAGAGTAGAGACGCGTGTTGGGAGAGTAGAGACGCGTGTTGGGAGAGTAGAGACGCGTGTTGGGAGAGTAGAGACGCGTGTTTCATTGTCATGAGAGCATGCACGCCACATACCTGAGAACATGCACGCCACAGCTCTCTGTCGACATTGGGGTGAGTCTGCAGTTGAATGCCCCGTTCTTCTTGGTTGTCAACCTGGTTTGAAAGAACATAGGAGTGAAAATACAAACAGGAAAGCATTTAAAAACATGTATAGGTATATTTTCCTACCATGATGGAAAAAGTTGTTATTCTCGGAAAGAAGATAAATTACAATCCAAGAGAAATGATTGAGTGGTTCTGGGTAACATTTCATTCAAGACAATAAAAATAAGACCAATAACCTATGGAAGATAAAAGATGAAAGGTAATTAACATGAGCCTGATAATGCGGCCTCAAACACAAACCAAATGCCAGGATTGATATTTTTGGGCAGAGATTTTAAGAAACATGGTATGGTTAATACGCATTCAAGGAAAAGTTTAAGCTTGGACATAAATTGATGCTCTTTTTGAGTATTTTATTACACAGAAAAAGGGAAATCTTTTATTAATGTCAGTAACCTTATGATTTTAATACGAATAAAGTTGGTTTAATATTTGCACTATTGATTCTACAAAATATCAGATGTTAAGAATATTGAGCTTAATCACAGTATTTGTTAAATTTCAGTATTTTGTCTCAAGAAAAGAAATATAAATGAATTTAATAATTTGTAAGAAATTCAAATACAGTGAAAATTGCACAAAAATTCAGCATTTCTAGTGAATTTACAATTCAATCAATTGAGTGATATTGATAATTCAATGATTTGTGGGCAGGTCAAAATGACACGAGTTGTGTTTGTCTGATATTCATTTCATTCACAAGGATAGGGTAGTAGGGGGAACTCAAGGCAATGTTTTTGACGCAGGTCAAACAATAAATAATAGTTCTCTACTACTTAAAGGTCCACGCCAGGATACCTGGACGCGGATGAAGCCGTGCTCAGCACTGGAGATGCGCAGCTTCAAGATGCCCTGCACCTCCAGGTTGCGTAAGCCACCGTCACGCCCTGCATGGACAGTCAAGTCCTCGCACACAAGAATGTGCACCCTGCAACAACATACAATCTTAAAAAAAGACTGAACACTTTTTAAAGTTGAAGCCTGCAAAGGCCGTAAGAAAGAACAAGCAACCCTGAATTGTTGCTGTTAGTACAGGGGATTGCCAGTGGATTTTACAAGAGAAATATAATTTAATCTAGCTTCAATATGCTGGATGTAGTGTTGCAATTGCCTAACAATACTATAGATAGTTTTCCATAATAGCTTAATAGGATAAAGAATGTCACGTACAGCTCAGTGTGATCTTCAGGCTCCACGTGCAGCATGTGTAATGATGCTATAATCTAATTCTAAAAGGATGTTACAATCTAAACGTTGTTATATAATGTGTAATGTTAATCTATAAGTAGTGTTAATCTACATAGTAGTTCTCTATAATAGCATAATAGGTAAAGGACGACACGAACGGCTCAGTGTGGACATCAGGCTCGACATGCAGCGCCCTCTTGTCGTCCACAGCCGCGGTGCTGATGCGCTCGCCCTCGCTCTTGAGGGCGTCCACGAAGCTGTCTACGTCCTTAGCACGGCTGCCCAACTTCATAGCTTTCCCACCTACAGGAACCTTGCTGGACCGAGGCTCCTGCAACCAAAATTTTAAAGGTCACCTATTAAAAAATTCACAGTGAAAGCTGTTTAAAATAATGTGAGTGTGATGATACAATGTCTGTTTTATTCTAGACAATAAGGAGCTTTTAGTCGAAGAAAATATCAGGATAATCAGCTGTGTACTAAGCTCCATCATGGAATGGAAGCCCTTTTACCTATATCTCAGGGTTATATAGTATGCAAGTATTGGTATAAATTGAATCTTATAAAGTGAGTTACATGAAGTACAACTACACTAATAGTCCCTTAAATAAGACTGGAAAAAAGAGCTTAGACACACATTCATTCATGGAAATAAAATAGTAATAATGCGAAAATTGATGATTTTTAATTTACATAAATATAGAATAGAAACAAATAAATTAGGACAATTGAAAGGAGATACAAATAAGTTGAGCGCCAAAATATATTGATGCTAAGAAAAGCTACTCAAGTAAGAAGAACTACCATGACGTGCAAAAATGTGCATATGTTGAATGTAAACATCTATGCCGTTTCTGTCAGCATTGATCAAAATTGAACTATAAAAAAAATCACTGCAATGGAACGTTAATCAAGATATATATTAAAATGCCTAAAGACAATGCCTAAAATTTGTGAATATTTTAAGGTACAACAAGATAGTCAAAAATAGAAGAAAAAGTAGATTTCTTCATAATAAATATCAGCGAAGGACCCTCTCAAAATCAAGCATACATTAACTTTCAGTTATAAATTAAATAACATTCAATCTACTGAAAGGATTTGGATCAAATTACTGAAAACATACAAATTCGGATAGCATAGTGTATGAAATAGAATGATGCGTCAAAATTGGATGCTCAATAATAAAGCAAAATTAGGCCAAGTGCTTTAATAAATGCATGGCATGCAGACACTAGAAATAAATATACCTCAGGAATGATCACAGCAGCGATAAAGCATTGCTGCAAGAAGAGATACAAGATTACATTCTGTGACTCCACAGAAACTTCTAAGTATCCAACAACATTCAAATTTACAGTAGTTACGTATACCTAGTTCATTAGGGCATCGTTTAATCTTGAAAAATAGTATTCAAAAATAAAATACAATAACTTGAGTAATTCTCAACTGTAGAGTATTAATTGAATAATTATAACTTATTTTAGGCAGACTATTTCATATTTCACAGCATACGTAAGTGAAATTGAAACACAAATTGTTTGGCACACGAGTCCAAGGTTGTTCATTGTATTGATGCATAACAAAATCGACACAAGTTGTTCTTTGTAAGGAATAGCAACTTTTGATGCTAAAATGTAGCATAGCCTTCACAAACAATGGTTTACAAAATATTTGGTCTATATTCAAAAATAAAACTCGCCCATAATTCAATGAAGCTGGAGATGAATGAATTGAATGGGCATACCAAGTGAGTTTGAAGAATATAAGGTAATTATATTCATTAGGTTATTTTCTCTAGTTAGGAAGTAGATCACTCGAATCTCTTCCACTCTCAAAAATGTTGAGGCAATCTTGATGAATACCTAATTAAAGTCATTAAACTGTTAAGGGCAAATGTCTAGGGTGCGAGATTTTTGTTTATTGAAAGCAGAGAACGCACTATGTTATGGTGTTGAATACCACAACTCATGGCGATGATTACTGCAACTCATGGCGATGATTACCACAACTCATGGCGATGATTACCACAACTCATGGCGATGATTACCACAACTCATGGCGATGATTACCACAACTCATGGCGATGATTACCACAACTCATGGCAATGATTACCACAACTCATGGCAATGATTACCACAACTCATGGCAATGATTACCACAACTCATGGCAATGATTACCACAACTCATGGCAATGATTACCACAACTCATGGCGATGATTACCACAACTCATGGTGATGATTACCACAACTCATTTGAATGTATACAACAATTGACGACAAAGAAAGCCACACTTGTTGGCTATAAACAGCACGGTAATTAAATTTGAGATAACAGAGATGACGAGCTACACAAATGGAAGATTCAACCATTTTCCCAGTAACGATAACATGTAGTTACCAAGACTTTAGACACAAATATACGTAATTGAGTCCAAACCAATGTGTCCCTCATTTAATACCTACTAGAGTGGAGGGGTTGGGCAAATATATACTGTACAGATTGGTCACCCTTTCTGTGAGTTCCATTTTGGTAAATTCTTACCACTGTAGAATGACCACTTGATGCATATCTCTTCTTTAATAATTCAATTTAATTATACTTTAATAATTATCAGAGAATGCAACTCATCACATCTCACAGGAGCAGCACGAGCAATGTTGTCTGGGACAGCAGGGATGGAGAAGCCACCAGAGTTGCCAGAGTTGTAGTTGCCCATGCTGCTGGCGTTGCTGCCATAGCCACCACCCATGCCACTCTTGCCACCTCCGCGCTTCATCTCCTCATAACGCTTGCGCTGAAGCTCCTTAGCCTTTTCCTGTAATATCAAGCATTATCTTTATCATTGGTTTAAATTACTCAAAATAGTTTAAAGCAACTGTTTTTACACCAGTTCAATTATACAGAATATTTACAATATATAGAATAAACAAATAGGCACAAAAATTTACAAGAAAAAAATATTAAATTGGTTAGTAAAATTCTTATTTTTGATAATTTTTTACCACGTTTTTCTTAGCTTTGTTTTGTGTCTGTCTGTCTGTCAGTCATCAAAAATTCAGAGCTTAATTTAGAGCTCTTCTGAACATCCTAGAAACTTTATATTTGGCATGCATGCTTATGCTGCCTAACAATTCAAGATATTATTATCATAAGTAATAAATAAAAAAAATTTAGAAAAAAAGTAAAAAATTATAAAAAAACTACAAATTCACGGTTTGGAATTGAGTTTTTTTCTCAAACATCCACACTTGCCAACCCTGGAAATTGATTTCAATAGCTAAAATTGCAAACTAAAAAGTAGAAAATAAATAAATATAAAAACCATTTTTAAAAACCACGTTTTTCTGGTTTTTACAAAACTAAAAATAATGAAGTAAAACAAATAAAAAAAAATTTTAAAACCACATTTTCTTTTAACGGACAAAAAATAAAAACATTTACTCCTACATAACATTACATATCATTTTACATAACTTAAATGTAATGTATGAGTATATGTTTTTCCTTTTGTCTGTTAAGAAAATGTGGTTTTTAAAAGTTTTTTTACTTGTTTTATTTATACTTCACTTTTTGTTAGTTTAATAAATTTGTCCATTTTATATAATCCACAAACAATTTTAAAGTTCACATCATTTATACACAAGCAGGGAAATTATAGAATCATGAATACAGTTCGACTGTGCAGTTGGGAAAACAAATTTTTCATCTCATTTGCCAATGAGATCAATTCAAATCAATCACACTCCAAATACAATAGTATTAAAAAATCACGTAATTTTTGTTACGAGCAACACATTACTGGATTCATCTTCAAGTGTACCTAAAATATAAACACATTTGTTCAATTTTGCTGAGCCGCGCAAAACAATTTCCTGAAATAAAAAGTAGTAAATGAATTAAATTAAGAAAAGACAACTCCTGAAAACTCAGTAGTAGATTATACCATGGTCTTGCTTACACGCTCTAATGGCAGCCACCAAAGAATCTCAAGAAATTTTACCACCAGGACAGATATCATATCAGTTACTGCGTAAAGAATAACTTTTATATAACACAACTTTCTATTAACACACATGGTTAAAAAGGTAAAAAAAATGGTAAAAAGCTTATCAATCAGTAGTTTCCCATGCCAATCAAAAGATGTTCATTTATTTTAATTGAAATACCAGTACCCTTCTAATAAAAAGTCATTATTAGTCCTAAAGTTGAAAAATAATTTTTGCCCTTTGATATCGTACTCAACTGCAATAAAGTAAAGAAAAATACTTGTACAAATATAGTAGAACTAACCTTCATCCTCGTCTTAGCCTCACGCTCCTGTGTCTCTCGAACAGCTCGGAAGACTTTTTCCTCATGGGAGTCCATCTCAACAAAAGTTCTGATCTGTGCCAGGTTGACAGACTCACGGTAACCGAGTGCAACAATCTCATCAAAAGCAAATATGAGGTTAAAGGCATTGTCAGAAATGTCCTTTTCATCCAAGCTGCGGCAATATTCAGGAACCTGCAAATATATCCACAAATTAGTCCATCAGAAAGATCACATAAACTTTGAAAATATATCTAGATAGAAACTACAACATTAGCACCAACACTATCAAAAAATTTTCAACACAGAATTGATTGGTTTTCTTTCATAAGACATGAAACAAAGAGTGCATTCATGATTCACATATTATGTTTGCATATAAATGAGAGTACGTAGTAATCTATTCTTTAATAGCTTACATTTTATACAATCTTTTCTATACTGTATAATGTTCATGGAAAACTTCATGGAATATATAAAAAAACATGCAAAATAAAATCCTAGTTGTGAACGATAATATTAAACCTCTTTGTGGTTATAATACAATTCTTACAAATCATAATTCCTCCTGATTTTTATATTGAACGGAAAAGAAATTCTGAATTGGAGTTTATTAGGAGAATTTTTTTTACAGGTAAACCCAATTTTAATCACCAGACTAAAATATGCAGGCATTCTAAACTAATTTTTAATGACAGGTCATCCATGTATGTCTATAGACAAATCTGATTAAAATGCTTTCTAACTTGCAACATTATATGGTCTCTTATTAATATTATTTAAGCTATCTCTTTTCAAATACATAAATGAAAATTCTTTTTTTTTACATATCAAAGTTACAAATGAGCCTTGTGCTGCTTACAGATGTGATTATTTTGGCTGACTTTTACCATATATCATAATTTTATGACATCACATAGGACCAAGTGTAGTTACAGGTGCACCTAATCAGCCAGAAAAAAGCTAATAGACAATGCAAATATATACTGCAACACCATGTTTGAATTTATTGTTGTAATTCAGGATAAGAACTAACAACTATAAAAGAATGGGGCAATTCACTTTACACTCCATGAAAAAATTACATGTCCAGACCACTCATTAGTATTTCTTAAGGGGACCGGCTACCCTCCAGACCGGCTACCCTCTAACTTCTACATTTATCTTCCAATCTTGCTGAAATTTCGTATTCATACGTAAAATGTAAAATAAAAAACAATTTGCTCGTATAAATTTTTCAAAAAATTGATAGAAAACGTGAAATTCATAGAAAACGGCTAAAAAGGGGGTACTTTAGAAAATCTATCTCCTCCTACAAATATCATCCTACAACATCGAGACACGTATCATTCGGTTCGTAAGGACCATACCTAAAAATTTGATGATCACTTTTCTCATTTTCCCCTTAGTTTTTTTATGCGCGTTTTATCCCATTTTTCTCATTTCCCCCCCCCCCCCTTCTCCCCATATAAAAAACGAACCAGACAGAAATTAAAAAAAATGATCATCAAATTTTTAGGTAATTTCATTACAAATCGAATGGTGTATGTCTCATTGCTGTAGCTTGAAAACTGTAGGAGGAAATACATTTTCCGTGACAATAAGTTGAACTTTTCAGGACGGCGTGACAAAGTCCCGTGCGCCTCGAAATAGGCACTCAATGTAGCATGGATACCAAACTACAGGCTTCTGTAGCTTAATCCACTCAAGGATGCAAGCAGCATCTTGTAGCGCACCTCTACGTACAAAGTTAGGAGGGTAACTGAGCTCAGATGCCAGATACACCAAGATATGTAGTCTTGCCGCTCTAATTTTCTTAGGTCTATTTAGTGAAGGAACTCCACCCCCGCCCCCATTAAAGCCCGGCCGTCTGCGTCAATATTGCCGTACATGGATCGCAGTAGTATCGTTGGAAAGCTCCAAATGTCAGCTTTAAGATGAGACTAAGCATGTAACTGCAGCACAACTCAAGTAGAAACTATATTTAAAGATTTCAGCAGCTAATTATTTTATATCTAATTACTTAAAGAACTCTCCCACCCGCTTCCCTTTAAAGAGACGTCATGAACGTAAATATTGGCGTACAGCGATGGCAGTGGTACCATTGGAAAGAGCAGAATTTCAGCTTTCAGATGAGCACAAAAACCGAAAAACGCCAAAATTGAAAATTTTAGGGTAGCCGGTCCCCTTAAAGAAACCCCCAACATACTTACCACTCTTGAAAAAAGTCTGAGAGTTTCAAGATCCTCAAGAATGTTAGAAGCTTTTGTGGTGATAAGAAGCATGTAGAGCAGATCCAAAGGTTGGTAAACATAGCGGACACTTTCTGTCTCCACAAATGTATGTTGGCGTCCAGTGCTCATCAGCTTAGGGAAGGCAGCCAGCAATCCTTCAATCCGAGCTCTGGTCATCTCCACAAACTGCCTTGACACCAGGGCCTTGCCGCCCTTTGTGCACACTGCGGCAGCAAGAAGCACCTGGAATAAAATTATTCAATTAGGATGACTTGGCTATGGAAATGGTACCTAAACAATGAAAACTTTTATTGAAAAAAAAATTCAAATTAATATTTATGAATTATAACAATAAAAAGTATTCAATATTATTCTAAACAGAGCATGGCATTATCATGTTATGTGGTTGTATGGTCATGTACTTTGAATTCAATTATTACATCCTCAGTACCTATATACAGTACCTATCGTGCATAATGTTCAATCATACTGCTCAAAACCTAACTTGTAAGAATTTTGTCATGAAAGCATCAGATATTAGAGTAGGTGGCAGAAAATTTACAATTTATAATTAACATTTATGAATGGCTGCTTTACATGAAACGTGCCCACTAAATTACCCTAGTGCAAGTATAATGGTAATTTCTAATCAACAAAAAAACTTCTACCAAATTTCCTGGTTTGTGCATAAGAGTATTTTTATCATGCCTTTGTCAAGCAGCAATCATCTATCCACAGAAACATGCATGGCATCCTGGGTTAGGGTGCAAAGAACAAGCAAATGTTTATATATTATATGCAATATCAGCATTAAAATCCATATATGTAATCCAAAGATCATAACAATAGATTCCTCTTAACATGTATTTTTTGCAAAAATCTTCAAAACTCAGATAGTTCTAGCCATAAATTTTTTATATACTGTCAACATTTTAGGCCTAGAAACCTGATCTCGGTGACAATTGCCCAACTTTGCACAGTGGTACTGCATCACCCTAATTATGCTAAGAATTTGATTACTATTATCATCTACAGAAAATTGATTGCTCAAAATCAAAATTGATGCTCTTGCCATATTTTTTATTTAATATTCTATTATTAACAGTAACAATGATTTTGAATCAATTTAAAATTACATTATTTCTTGAACATATGAATGTTCAAATTTGATAACAATTAAATTTAATTAGCATGTGTAATCAATAAATTATTCAACTATAAATTACTCCTAAAATTTCCTTCAACATGTATGTACAGTTTACAAAAAAATGCATACGGTATTTTTTAGAATACCTCTAGGTTTTTGCAACTAGCTTCAGAATTTTAAATTTATGCACATTTCTACACTTGTCCATTGCTCATACAGGGTCAAAAAGTCATATGTCAACTCACTTGTTTAAATACTTTCATTTCCAATGGCTAACCAACTTGGAATATTGAGCAGTCTAAGTTTCCTAAAATTGCAGATAAAAATGATTGTTTCACAAGTGATTTCAAACTATTGAATGCAAAAATATGCAATTTTTCTTATTTTTCAATAAAGAAATATAGAAGAGGCCTGAGTAACATGAAATTGGCCACACTAATTGGCATATCTGTATGATTCAAGGGTGGTTAACTGTGACTTCTGCCTAATTTTCCCATTGGGATTGCTAACAAAATTTCCATCAATTATCATCAATTATATAATAATTAACAAGCAACATGTATCATATGGAAGGAATATCAGGCAGAAATTTTTCTAAAATTACAGAACAGATTTTTTTATACATTTTTGCAGGGTTGGCAATGATTAAATCAAAATGATTAAATCATGTGATTAAATCACTTGATTTTTTTATAAAAAAATCATGATTTTTTTGATTTTTTCGATTTTTTTNAGATCTGCATTCCTGAAGTGTTTTTGTATATTGAAGCCAGTTAAATGGTCAATATTTAGCTCATTACCTTGCTCCATACAAACTTTACAAAGCTAATGAATAGACTTACCAATAATTGTTTACCCAAAAATCCCTAAGTGGTAAACACTACCTTGGCCTGTTGGCCATTATTGAAGGCAATAAGTGCCCTTTTTAGCCATCCATTATGATCCATATACTGTTATTGTTAGTTAGGCTAATTGCAACATAAAAAATACCACTTCAAAAAGACAAAAAAGTTGAAAAAATCAAAAAAATCAAATAAATCAAAAAAATCATGAAAAAATCAAAAAAATCATTGATTTTTGATTTTTTTGATTTTTTTAAAAAAATCAAAAAAATCGCCAACCCTGCATTTTTGAAAGTTTTGTTCAAAATGCATAATTCTTCAAAATTATTCAGTAAAATTATTCGAGAACAATAGGAACAGGTGAAATTTACCACAAGCACAGATGTTTTCATCTCATTTAACTCTCAAGGGCAAAAGTGGAAAATTTGGTAGAAGCCATTTTAGCAATTTAAATTTGAAAGAAAAACAACATCAGTAGGGTAAACGCACCATATTCCAACACCCCTCAACTTTTTCCTTTATATTAAGCTTGGTCTTAGTTCCACGCATGCGTAGATGGTTAAAATAGTGACGTCATACTATTGCGCGCCAGATTTCCGCAAAACACTAGGTCTAGCGGGAAAATGTAAGGATCCGCAGAGCAAAAGTCCAAGTCAACTAGTGAGAACATTGAAACATGTATGAAAGTTGATAGTTGACCTTGTTTTACTAATTTACTAAATAGTAATAAACTGTTTGTGTAGAAAGAATATTATGGTTTGAGACTTTTAAGTAAGTCTGTGAATATATTAGGAATCCTTTCAGTATACCTGTATTTGCTGATTTCAAGTGGTAAATAAATTAATAGATGGTTGATTTAAGAGACAGTTTTAGACACATAAAAACTAATTCTGACACAGGGTGTTGGAATTACAACACACAGGGTATCATTTACTGTCATTTTCCGACACAGATCACACAGGGTGTTGGAATTTCAACACAGGGTGTCGGAATTACGAATAACGATTTTGAAGCACTGTCGGAATTAGTCTCACAATATGCCGCACTTAGTCACACACAGTGTCTGAATTTAGCGATTTTGTAGGTTTGAATTCTAAAGGCTTTTAAATAAATATGGCAACAGTTTGTGACGTTTCATCATTGCTGGCTCATTGTGTTGTGTTTTAAGAGAGACGTAAACAAATCAGAACTCAAGTTGCGCATACAGTTATCTATTTATAGCCATTTATTTCTTGCTACGTCCTTAAAGTGTCAGAATATGGTGTGTTTACCCTAATATGATTGCTTTTAGGTACCCACAATTTTATGAAACTTCTGCCTAATTTTCCAAATCTGTTTAAGAATGGCTTATATCTAATTCTCAAATTTTGAAATGGTTTACATTGCAACGATGCTCAAATCCCAAGTGGCAAGTGGAAGATTAGGCAGAACTCAGAAGTAATCTGTTAATCTGATAAAAACTTCCTGTGAATCTGACCATTTTCAAACTAGGCTATGGGGTTTTCCCAATTTCTTCACTGAAAAAATTATGAAAACAGCTTATTATGGCCAAGATTTAAAAAAATTATCCATGAAACAATCATTTTAACCTGAAATTTAAGAAAACTTCAGCCTAGCATTCAAAATTGGCCAAACACTTTGACTCCGTACTTTGTCTCAGGTTTGTCACTATCCTGCACCAAATCACGGAAATTAGGTACATCATGAAAATGATGTACCGTAAAATGGGGTAACTTAGACCACTTTTTTTCTTATAAATGATGCCATTTTCTTATTAGCTAAATTAAACTTGAATTGAAACCTGCAAAATACAGGTCTATACTCTAGCTTCACTCACCATAAATTGCTGGCTCCTGCCTCTCATAGTCTTTATGTAATTTCAAAANGGCTTGCAAATCCATAAAACCACGGCTCGAAAAATTCAGTCACGGCTCGCCAAGTAGATATATTCCATACTAGAATGGCTGCTTTCAATTAAATTTTGAATATTGCAAAAAGAAAAAAAATTGAATTTTTATAGCGGAACCTACAAATAAACTGATATATATTGGGTTATTGGCCTTTTTTGTTCCCAGATTTGGCCAATTTTAGGCAACCTGAATTATGTACCACTTAAAACCACTATGTCCTGGAGAAATACATTTTGTGGTACGCATATGCACCACTTTGGAGTCAACGTGTTAAAATATATGAAATTTACGTGGCTTCCTTAGCCCTTACCATCCTATGTTTATGTTACGGTATACCTAATATTTTATGAACATTACAGTTAACATACCTAGTTTCTAGTTATTTGACTGAGCTGGTAAATCAGGCTAGAATCCAAATCCATTATTATCGAATTATAAACAATTTATAGAATTACAAACTATATACCTAGCCTAGGCCTACCTAGTTAACAGTCAGGCAAAAAATGCAAGGCTACAACATTCAACAGTATATTATTATCTGTACTGGCTCTGGCTGTACATATGATTAGCCTATTAAGATGCTTCTTTCTCAATGTGTTACAAATTAGGTAGGTACATCATTTTCATGATGCCTGTTCCTGTAAGCTACCTTTTCCTCCTGTCACACAATTAAAAAAAAGTGCAACAAATATTTACATTTTGTAAAAAAACTGCTTTAAGCTATATCCCCGATCCGACAAAACAAAATGTTGCAAATAAGAGAACTGTCAACATATAATAAATTGATAATAATCATGACAAGCACAAGACGTATAAATAGTTACGCAAATTTACATACCATTTTGATGCGTGTTTAACCGATTCAATCTAAATATCAAAGTTACATTCAGGTCAACGGTAATGAAGTCACAAAAATCAAAACCATAACCCGCTGCTGACGTTGCTATTGAGTGACATTGAACATAGCGGTTTTGCCTTGAAGTCGTCGCCTATTTTCGCTTACTTCGCTAACAGTCCTGTAAAGTTGTAAAAATCTACGAAAACCTACAATATGATAAAATCTGTATGCCTAAATTGAAATTTGATATATTTTGACATTTCTAATAATAGAATAAAAACCATATGTATACGATGTGGCAGGCCATATTTATCCTATGAACGTTGGTACTACCATTAATATCTAAAAACGACGAGTCAGTCAATAACAAAATTCGATCAATACTACTAGCGATAGTGATCTAATCTAGGAGAATCTGTTCTGTTATATACAAGTGGCCCGTATATTACGTAGGAATGAATCCATACAATTCGATTAAACCCAAGCCGCCGAATGCGGCACTCTATCAATGCGTGAAAAAAAACTTTTCATCCTGTATTGTTACTTTATAATTTATATGTACGAATTTGAAATAAAGTTTCAATTTTATGCCATCTCCGTTTTTCAATATGTTACTATTCTCGCTCCAAGAATAAATTCGCAGATTGGGTCCCGCTAAAAAAAAGTATCCCAGTAACAAGATCAAACGGCTCTGTTATGTATGCAGTGCAAGGATTTACAAATATAAATACGCAAAAGAAACACAAATTGACGTCGACCTATATCTATGAGATTAGTAGTGACGAGTTGTCCTGTCAACTTAGGGAACTTCAGTCGGAGTCAATTAAAAAAAAAAATAAGATGCCCAGCTGGCCCAAGACCTTTCGGATAGTTGGAGCCCCAATGAAGCATCAAAGAGTTTCATTTTTTTAGAATAGAATAGAAGTGTCGGCACTGAAGAAATAGGCCCATGGCCTGTTGCCGATTCTTGTTCATAGAATATAATAGAAGTGTCGGCACTGAAGAAATAGGCCCATGGCCTGTTGCCGATTCTTGCATTTTTCGACCGGTCGGACAAAAGCGCGTGGGCGTTAGCGTGGGTTACAGCGTGGGCCAGCCCGGCCCTGAACCTGCCCTATACCAGCTCTCCCTTTAGCCACGTTTTATTACCTCAATTCGTAACCAATAATTATGAAATTTAATATATGGTTTCACATGCTTATTGCGCAGTCGCGACGATTTTTTTAATAATTTTAACCCATCTCCTTTGCAAANAGGACACTTCAGATTTTTGTAGTGCGCGTTATGCTTTTGGCCCTATTTAGCATACCAACCGTAGTGTTCCATGCCGCACTATGGCTTGTAGTGCGTAGTGCTACTTCGTAGTGCTAGTGCCCTATTTAGCATGCCAACCGTAGTGTTCCATGTCGCACTAGTACGGCACTACGGCTTGTAGTGCATAGTGCTACTTCGTAGTGCTAGTGCCCTATTTAGCATACGGGCCAATGTGTTAAATACACTTATGAGTTGTGACGAAGGTTGAATTGACAGTTACCATTTTAATTCTAAATCTACTGGCAACTGCCGAATTTGTTTTGCGACTAATATTTCATGTATCTTATTACTGGTATGTCCGATGAAATAACTGTCAGGCATCAAATCACAGTTAGCAGTGCTCATTGATAGTGTTGGATCTTCTGCAATTGCGATTCAATTATATCACTGTTCAACAAAATTGGTACTTCACTGGCATGGCAAGCTTCTGCCAGATCTGTCAGGAAATGAAGAACAGTACTTTACTTGTTTATGTATAGTCAGCCTTGCTTGCTGATGCTTGTATCAAGCTTTTTAGAGTCCAAAAGTTGGATTTTATATGTAGTATGGCCTCTGCTTCAGAAAAAATGTCATAGCCTGCTCCCTGCTGTACTGAGCTTCCCATGCATACATCACACGATAGAAGTCCTGCTGCCTGATGCTTTTTCAGTCTGATTTGGGCAATTGTCAGGTCCTGACATTTCGTTTTTCAACTGTTTTAGGGATTTGTTGAGTCAGTTAAATAATAAGCAGCCTTTTAATAGTTCTCCACAAGTCATAGCTTCACATGAACTTCAATCATTTAAATTATTTGCCGCCTTCCTTCTATACTGGGCAAAACTATATTGCCAAAGCATTTTCAACTTGATGCAAGTAATGACAGCTAATGATATTTAATTTCATCATCATAAAATTATTTATTAATATATCTTATTTGCAGATCATCCATCATCAATATACGTACATGCACTCGTGCTGGAGAATGGGAAGACCTCCATCTTCTTTCCTGCTGCACAGCCATTGATTGAAAGTAATTGAGAAAAACCTGCAAGCCTCAACATTTATATAGAAATGTTGAAGAAATTAATATTTAATAACTTATGTGTTTCTATCAATATTTCTAGTGTATACTCAGTTCTCCTAATACCCGTTGAAGTATATTTAAAGATTTTTTATGATAGCATTCTCACAATGTTTGTGTTATTTGAAATAAAAATATTAGACATTACTTTTCATGCAATGTTTTGGTTAATATTACATATCTATTATAATTTAGGAATGAAGAAAATGCCAAGCCACAACAAATTCTGTTGAACATCAGTTCAGCATTTGTGACACATGAATGAGTGTACAAGTTTATCAACAATGCTTCTGCCTATGTTAAATAAATACTCTTTTTGCAGATTGATAACGCTTTAGTTTCAGCAATTGATAAATTACCCAATGTTTATAAGCTTTAAGAGGATTTCTTAATACAAAACACCAAGTCTTCAATTCGGGGAAAAGGGCAGGAAGTTGAGTTTTAACAGGTAGTTATCCTAAGCAATCTGAGACATCGACTTGATTACAAGCAATTATTTTTCACGAATGTTAAGGACAATTTTCGCCACAGCCTGGAGTAATAAAACGCTGGTTCAACCGGTACAGTTTATTGAGGCTTCTTTCCGCGGCCCATTCCTCTCTGAAAAAGAAACACTTCAATAAGTATCAACCGTATAAAGTTCGCATATTATGCACATAGTGAAAAGCACACAAGAAAAAAATGATTTACATAGAAAATGTTTTAATAGTAGAAGCTTCTAAACTCTTCATTTCCCCACACCAAAATAACCAATCGTCAAAGAATCCAAAATAAAGTCCGTCATAGAATACGACATTAGATTTCAACAGAGGAAACTCTAGTAGTTGTCCACTTGTAGCCCCTGACAACTACCAGAAATGTAACGATATTCAGAGTTCATTGATTGCATTAATCAACTACGAAAACTCAAGCGATTCGGTATGCTAATGAGGGGAATACCAATTAGATAAAATAGTTTTTTTCGATATGACCTACCAGTTATGATAGCGTTTATTTCAGAACAATTCCACACCTTAGTTTGGTAACAGTGAAGTTCAAGGTAAAAACTTCCAATAGATCTTTTATATTCATACCGCGTCTCGCATTAACATGTCTAACATTCGAGCTCTTTTCCGAGCATCGTTTATAAATGCATTAGTACGTTGGGCAACGGCATTCAAGTAACATATACACAACACTGAACCGAGGCATAATTATAACTCACAAATTCCATGGAGGCAGCACCGGCTCCTGCATCAGCAGACTTGTCGCCGCCAGCAGGAGGCGCTCTCCTGTAGTTGTCGCGGTCGCCCCCGCGTCCGCCTCCGTACTCGCGTCGGGCGTCGCCGCCTGAACGTCCGCCAGGTGCAGCAGGTGCTGCGCGTGGCTGCTGCTTCTTCAGAGTTGCTGGCACGATCTGTGTTGCATAGAAGCGAACATCAGTTGCCGAGAACTTGCAATTCTAAAAACATTCAGAAATTAATACCTCAATAATATTCAACTTCATGGCATAAAATATTACAAATCTTCGGCAGCTTATTCCGATTACATTAAATGAATTATCCATAGATAAAACAATGAGAATTAGATGATTCACAGCAAGAAAATTCAACTGCAGCAATCTTTGCTCACGCAGGACTGACTAGAACAGGACTTTATTACACATCTTTATTATGGGATTGACTAGCATTTACAATAATCAGGTAATAGAAGCTTGGAAAGTGAAAAATATGGAAAAAAACAGGATTTGAAATGAGTTTACGATGAAGACGTCATAAGTTAACAGCCTTCAAGAGAAATAATCCCCACCTCGGCAGNACAACAACCCTCCCAGAAAGCTAAAACAATCCATCATTGTCAGCATTTTGTACGCCATTCAAGGAGCCCACACTACTATCCTAAACCTTAGAAAGGGAAGATATACTACCCCAGAATAATGAAAATTCACCCAAAACCAAAACAGAAGTACTGACATTTGTTATGGTTAGCATTCTTCCATCAGTTCAGTATTGCATAATAATTTATTCCTAGCCATGAAAATCTAACTGCTGAGAATCAATGAAAGCATCAGCTTTAAAAAATATTAAGTACCTCCCTAAAACCCAATTTACTTTTTCCAAATAATTTTTTAAGATACGAGGAAGATGCAAGCCCATCACTCTTGCACATGTTTACAAATTGTCAGGAATATATCTATAATTACTTTACATTAGCAGACAAAACTATGTAAGAACATTTACACCAAACACAATCCATTTGAGAAACAAATCCTTGAGTGTATTATATATAGGTTTAAAATTATACCCAAGATAACCTTATAAATTGTCAGTCTCTGTTAAAATTGAGAAAGTAATTCAGCTCTGTAGTAAAAAATCAGCTGTTTTGAAAGCACTATGATCTTCAAGGTCTTATACATTAACTCTCTTTATAAGTCATAAATAAGAAGTCGCTAAAATCCTGCAAAAATTACAAACTTCACAAAAAGGAATCTTGTATTAGAAATTAAATTTTTTTTTTCAATTGCACATCATTGCACCCTAAATGACTGAAGAGCAGGTCTGAGGGCTGAACAACATTCAAAATATAACTTCACCATTAAATTTACAAAATTGTGTTCTAACGTATGAATTAATATTAGAAGTTACCTTTTCTGATCTCTACAGCTCTAAATTCACAAAAATTCCACTCCCTTGTTAGATTTACAAGGACCAGTATTTCTACAGCCAAGTTTGAATGCAATTTATAAACTGAAAGTACAGCAAAAATAAATATCATGGGAGCT